TTATTTATTTTTTTAATTTAATATGAAATTTTACTTCATTTTTCCCTCCTCAAAGATCCTATTATTTGCAATTATTTTGATTTTACTTTCAAAATGGGGGGGGGGTTGTATCCACCCTCGTTTAAAATCACTTTAATACAATGTACTTAACCCTCTGTATATTACCAAATTGTAATGTTTTAACCCAATATTTTAAGTTACCATAATTCAAATTTAAAACTTCTTTAACTTGTCTAGATTATTTTAATTACTGCATACATTATCTAATTTCACTGGAAGTAAACCATTCCTATCAAAGATGAACCTGGTTCAAGAATGGATGGTTCATAAAGTATGTACAATATATTTATTACTAGTTATCTATTAAAATTTCAATTAGGCAAGATAGTGAGATTTTGAAGTTTGTAACATTTTTAAAAGATCTAAAGGTTATATACTACCATGTAGTTTTTAAAGTTTCAATCAAGTTAAAACAGACACTTAGGAAATACTTCTGTAATAAATTTGAAATATGTTTAGATGTTCCAGAGGTTATTTCTTTTCCTACATATTTTAGCAAAGTTAGTTAAACCAACAGTTTTTAATATAACAATTTTAATTTAAAAAATTCAAAATAATACAGATATATACTTAATATTCAATTCTTCAATGATACTTTGTTCAATTTAGACAAATGGTTTAAGAGTTATGTAGATGTTCAAAGTCTGATTTTAAAAACTTTTGACATTATTATTACACTAAACATATTAAAAGTTTGGTCAAATTGCACACTGTTCAGGGTGTGTAACATCAACTTTGAAAACATATTAAATGCTCAAGAGGACTTTGTTACTGGATATTTTGTTACAAGTATCTTAAAAGTTAAAAAATTATTTCTATACTCAACTTTGAAGCTCTCTGAATGAGTCAAGAGATATTTATCACTTGATTTATTAGCAAGATTTTGAAGATACACCATTTAAAGTCATGATGTTGTCTGGAGAATCCACAGTGTTTATGTTATTATTATAATATTTTATTCAGTTTAAAACAATCAAGCCCTCTACAGTTTTAACTTTTTTATGGCTTATTTGTTTTTTATACTGACTACTTTATCAAAATTTCATTCCATTCAGTCCCAAGGTATTGAAGAGATGCTTTTAAAATATATAGATATATGTTATTAATATTAACTTCCTATAAGAGGAAGCTACTTACTTAGAGTGAAACTAAAATTCAACCTGCTAATGACTATAGCTAATTCAATATATTTTTTGTATGTTCTTACTTAAATAGGTAAAAATGCATTGTTCCATCAATTTTGTACCCTTACTATTAATAATACTGTTGGCTGTAATCCCAATAATACTGATGAAGTTTGGCCAGCTTAAGAGATTAAAGTTAGTCCTAAATAAACATATTAAGCTAAAGGTGCAAAACAATCTTTTTAATAAAAGTATAATAATAAACAATAAAGAAAATTAAAAAGTAACGACATTCGAGGTACTAAATAATATAAGTGATACTGTTAATGAAAACAACAATAAATAATAGAGTGTACAGTGCTTATGGAACCAAGTTAAATTTTACAATACTGCTAATGAAAACAACAATAAATAATATAGTGTACCTTGCTTATGGAATGTAAGTTAAATTTTACAAAAAACTATACAAAACAATAAATAAAAGCTAAAAGTCAAAATTTAAAAGACAGAACCTACATTCCTGTCAGTAGGGCTTTGATTGGGAAGTTTGTGCATCTCAAAAAGCAAATCATCCCTGGAATTTTCTAAGTCAGCAAGACTATATATAGAGAGAAACTTTTTGGTAGATGAAAACAACCAGAAAACAATTAAAAATGGAAAAGTAAAATTTGTTTTTAAATTCAAACTTTGCAATATTAGTGATATATTGAATATGAATAATGTTTTGAAAATTTTTTCATATACATGTTAAAAAATTTTATAAATATTTTTAGTTGCCCCTCAGTCAGAAAATTCCTAAGTGTTTAACATACATGTAAGTTTAAATTACTTAGTTTTTAAAGTAACCTAATCATTAAAACAAAAAGTTAAATCACACTATCTATTACTCACCTTTCCTAATAAATGTGTTTAACAAAATTATAAAGGGGTTTTATTAGCCATCATTAGTTTTATCATCTTGCATGCATTTTGTATATTTATCTTTTTTTTATCCTTAACTTTTTGTTTACTTGCCCAGTTATATTTAAATGTTAAAATGAAACCCACTTTTTTAAAGCTTATATTTATAATTACTATTTTTTTAGTCAATTTCTATGAAAGTCAATATAGTACAAATTTGACTCTACACAATGCTTATGAACTTTAATTATTAAAATGTCAAAAAATAGCTAATAACAAGGAATAAGGGACATTAAACCTAGTGAATCAAAAGCATTTGGTAAAACATGGGTATAAAAGGCCCAAAATTAACAAATGCCCAGCACAAGTAAAGTCTAATACAAGCAAGCAGTTCCAAATAGCTTTCCAACTGAATAAAAGAAAAATCAATGTTTTTCACCATATTTTTAGAGTTCATTATAAGCAGAAAGTTGTGTTTTTACATAAAATGTTGGTTAAAATTCTGAAACAAATCACAAAAAAATAATAATTTTTTGTTAGCCCATTTGCACTTTGGTTCATATATTAACTGATAATGTAAACTATCAAATTTTGAATGAAGTACATAATTTTTTTATCAGCAGGCTATCAGAATTGGCATTCAACAATGTTTAGTTGTGATTATCAGACACTAGTTTTGGCATCATGTAATTTGTTGTAGTTGTAGCAAAGACTTTTGTTTCCAAATAATTAAGTCAATGATAAGACCTGCCTAACATCACTTTGGCTACATGCTTATAAACAGAGATTGGCTGAAAACTAAAATAAGTATACTAGGTGTTCTTTGCTTCAAATGTCGTCAATTCACAGATGTCTTGTTATTCCAAGTGATCTAAAATACCTTTATATTTCAACAAATTCTCTATTCTTTGCTTACATGATTAATTTTTCAGGATTAAATAAAAGTCCATTTCAATCTCTTTTGCTGCTGCTGTCCATCTAGGCTGGTGATTACTGTTACTGATCATGTAAGGTTCTATTAGCAATATAGTTATTTTAATGAAATGATAGCAGAAATGTAATATATTACAATTTGTTATCTCTACATACACAAGCTATATCAATTATTTACATATGATAAAAACAAAAAATAATTTTCTATAAAAAGAAAAAAAGCATACCACTGATGAGCCAGCAGAAGTTTTCCATCTGAAATCCATTCCTGAGTTTTCTGCACACTCTCAGGGACATTAAAAATGTGCTTTAGGTTTTCCATAGCAGCTGCATACTGATAAGAAAATATTTTTTTAAATATCCAGTTTTATTCCTCTATAAACAGAAGTAAGGTATTTAATGGAAAAAAAAAGAAATAAAACAACTGCTAGTTTTTAGAACTTGGGCTATAATGTAAGATTGGATACTAAACCATTTCTTTACCCTATGGTTATCTCTTCTGGCTTTGTGGAACATTTTAGTTATAAATTAATAGAAGTATAGAAGGATACAATATATCACTGAAAAATTATTAATATGCAATTTCCTGCAATATTAATTCAAAAACTATTACTAATTCAAGATATTTACAAATAGTATTGAAGGTTAAACCTAATCACATACACCAAACTTACACATGCAACTTCCAAAAAAAATTTCAGTTTATAAAGGATTTCTTAGACCGATAATTTTGATATAAGCAATGTTCAGTATGGAGATTGGAAAGCAGCTAAATTTAGGCTGAATAGAACACTGAATACGTCGCAGCTATAATTTATTGCAAAACTTTTATTTTCAAAGACAAATTTATGACACAGTTGTGTATATGTACATCATTTCAAGTTAACATTTTTAGAAGTAAAATTTACTGTGGCTTTATAAACTTATTTAATTTTATTAATAATTAATGTTTAACAACAGTCAATATACATAATGCTTTAGCATTTTTTTTTTATAAGTAGACAACTTTATAATAACAATATTTTTTAAGCTCACAAAAACAGTGAGATAACTTTCAATTAAAAAGCAGTAAGTGAGATATCTAACAAGGAAAGTTTTTGGGGATCTTATTGTTGATGTTATCATTTTAGGTTAAATGCAATTTAAAAAAAAACGACTTGCTCTAATCAAAATATTAATTAAATCAATAATTAATTCAAACTCAATAACCGTTTGTATAATTTTTACAAGTATATCTACTATTCTAAGTTGTAAATAAGTTCATATTAAAACAGTAAAGTTCTTAACTCTCCGTTAGTTGCATGTTGTATTTTCGAAACCCCAACTACATTTGTTAACATTGTCACTAAGAGATCGTAGCACTGAGGCAGTTGTTGTTCACAGTACCTTTCCCAAATAACTGATAGAGTGTGCACCTAGTTCCTCCTATTTCTACCTTAGCAACACTGTGAGAAACAAATGTTTTGTTCTATCTCCAGTGCACAAACACCACACGGTACTAAATCAATGTGCATTTCTGGGAAAGTCTATATCTTTATTTCTTTGTTATTCTTGATTCAATTAGTGTTTTCAGACCTAATTTATACCGAATATGAAGGACCTTTTGCCTCGGTAATGTTTTTTTCATGAAATTTCTAATTATTTATGTGTTTTTTATTATTGAGGATGCACACCAACACTGGAAGTGAGAAGATTAGACATTTTTGTTGATGTTAATAAACTAATGATGTTTTTTGTTCAAAATAACTCTTAAGAAGATGTTTAGTTAAAAAACATATTTACTTTACTTTTAGAATGATGTTTTTTGTTTGTCAAATACAATATGAATGATTTTTTTGTAATAATTTCATTATTCCTCTATTAACACTACCCATACTTTGAAAATTAAGCAAAATGTTATGGAATCAGTCACAAGACACTTAACTTAACAGTATACATAGACATATTTTAGTTCTAGCAATAAATTATGTTTATTATCTACTCCTTTCTGGGTGGGGTGCGACCCAACCTTGTGGTAATAATGTCGTCCAGCAAACCGATGGTACTAATGTAGGGTCAAAAAAAAAAGCATATTCACAAGTACTCTTAATACATGTATAAGTACCCTGTAAAACATTACCTTGATTGTTTTCAAAATATTTAAAAAAAAAGATTTTAGCTAAGATGAAAAACAAAGCAAATACAGGCTCTGCCAAAAGAAGCATAGGGATTTAAAACTACAATAATCAACATTTGCTGGTATAATCTATGTTTGTTATTTATGAAACTGTACCTCAATAAGATATCTTGTAACCATTAAGTATGAAAAATAATGCTCAGTAGGTGTACACCATGACCTGCTGCACACTGGTGTTGCTCAAGGATGACACCTCACATTGTAAATACTAAAGTTTCATGCACAAGGCCATTAATTTGTCTTTTTGTTATCTTTAAAATCCTGTAGAATCCATGGCTTGTAGATATACACACTGTCCTTTAAATAATACCAGAAAAGGAAGTCTGCTGCTGACAAATCCTTGGATCATAGAGGCCAGTTTATGTGTCCATTATGAGTAATTCCCCTGTTTGGGAACAGTTCATGCAACACTGTTCATGCTGTATGAAAGGTGGCTCCATCTTGATGAAACCATAATTCCCATTGATGACACGTTCAGAAGGAGCAACATTAACACCAAGTTCTCAATGGTATGTTTTTTGAGCAGCAGTTATAGAGCATTCGTTTTTTAAATAAAGCTGAATGATAAGAGAATACTGTTGAATTGTTCACCATTAAAATTTGAACCCTTAATCTTCATTCGGTATAAAACAGACAATGTTTTTCATTAATACTTTGAAAAAATCTAACTATATAAGATCCCTACACTTCCTTTGGCAGACACTGTACATTATTTGGACTGAAAATTAGCATAATGAACCCAACTATTTAATAGTCAAAATATGTAAGCTAGATAGCCAAATTTTCTGTTAAACCCACCTGACTGTGTTTTAAACTTTCTTCTCTCACATCTTGGAGCTTTTCAACAAGCCGAGGGATTTCTTTGAAACTGTCTTCAATATCCCTTAAACTGAAACAAACAATTTCATAGTAGTAAGTTATGAATAACTTTAGTAAATTTCAAGTTATACACAGTAATAGCTCATCCCTTGAAAAACATTCACCTTTCTTTACTATTATTAATTCTATACACAATTTGAGCTGGGTGATTAGTGGTATTTCATTATCAATTAATCAATGGCCAAGCTAATCAATTATATTCAATTATTATAATGTTCCTTAAACAATGGTGTGTACAATATAGAAAAAAAGTTGGCAGGATATGATGCCACCCAGTTGTCTTTCCTTCAGTCAGCAGTTGAACAAGAAAAAAAAAAGATGGCAGTGGATGTTGCAAGCCAGTTGCTTTCCCTTTACTCTGCAGTTGAACAAGAAAAAAAGTTGGCTGCAGGTACTGCCAACCAGTTACCTTCCCTCTAGTCAGTAGTTCAAAATTAGTTACAGTGCCAGATAGCCTTAGTTATTTTTACGTCAAAGATAGGGAAAGTTTGATGGAAATGAGTTATTTAACCTAAGACTCTAGAATTGCAATCATTCCCTCCACAATTCACTAAAGCTGATTATTTTTGTAACACTCAATTTAATTGTAGCATCAATTAATTATTTAGTTTACATGCATTAATCGCTGTAATCACTTCCCATAGGTAATCAATTATATTGATTAACCAATTAAATCACACAGCTCTATACACAATCAACATGTTCCTACACAGATTGTTTATTTAAGTAAAAAACAGAAGTAAATACACAAGTAACTGAAACCTTCAAAAATCTACAAACCTACTCATGTCATTTACACAACAATTAAAAACACGAGTAACATCAAAATGTAATAGTTTAGCAATGTGATATGTAACCTGTAATAGTGTGAAACAATATTTTACTACACTCTAACCTTTGCTTTACTGAACTTAGATTAAAACTGTATGAGAATTATGTAGCAGTTACAGTGACATGTAGAAATTCAATGTAAATAGCTTTAATCTATATCTTCATCAAATGAAAAAAATACATTTTCAAATATTTGATACTACACTTTCATATATATATATATATATATATATGTTTTTTTAAAGCAACAGTAAGAAAGTGTTTTATATTTAAAGTATAATAAACACATTTTACAAACAATTTTATAATTCTGTTTTAAATATATACAGTACCAAGTTAATGCACAGGCCACCTAGACCAGGAGCCTCAACAGCTACCCAACTAAAAAAACTTTATAGTTTGTAAAACTAGCAAAATAAAGGCAAGTCTGAATTAGTATTTTCATTTTCATTATTATTATTCCCAAATACTACCTGGACCTAGGGCTCCAGTTAATCTTAATACATTCCTGAAGTTTTATTCTACAAGACAATTTTTAATTTATTTTGTTTAATGTAAACATATTAATTCAAGGTAGTAACAAGATTTCTTACCTATTTGAAAAATAAACTGATTATAAGTTGAGCATTATTAAACAAATTCTTAACCAACCATAACCACAATCAACCTTCCCCAATAAACAAAACTAAAAAAGTTATTTTTTTATATGACTTATGAAGAAGTCTGTGTGAACACAAATTTAATTGTTCTTAGTACATGGTACAATTCTTCATTTACATCTTGGAATTTTCTCCTTTACAACAATATTTTCAGTCGTGTCTTCAATATTCTCAAACTCCCACCCATTTTCCTTTCTCTTAATGTAGCAGTCTTATCAAATGACAGACTTTTTTAGGAGATTCACACACATTTTGAAGCCAGCCTATTGAAATGGAACATTGTATGTACTTGAGCTTCAGTCAGAGATTCTCTGGCTAAAAAATTAAAATGTAAACTGTATGTATTAGTAAACCAGTCCTCTTTGAAATAAATCTTGAAGTATTGTCAGACTGCAAACCCTGCTGCAAAAGATCTTCTAAGAGAAGTTGGGAATAGTGACAAGGACCTTTATCAGTGGAGACGACACACAAATACCTCCCACCACATTAGACTGGACAATCTCAGAGTTATTGTTAATACACGCTAGACATTTCCAAATAAAATGGTTTGGCCTAATATTTAGTTTTCTTCTATGCAGACCAAACAAACATCAAATCCTTCTCTATTATCTTGTTAACTGTACAGAAGATATGTCAGCTTCACTTTATGGATTGGAAGCCATAGCCTTCACATTGCATTTTAGGGCATTACTTCAATTGAGCTCATGCTGTGGGGTTTTAGAGATCAGTAATATCCTAATACAATGCTTCCACAAAGAATACTAAAGACTTCTTCCTTAAAAATATTCTGTCCTTTGTTCTGCATCATTCAACAAGTTCACCATGTGAATATTTCTCTTCAAAAAGACATTACTTATAATTTCCCTGAGTCATAAGGTACTTGTAGTGGCATGTCAGATAGTCAGGAATACAGAAAGAACCATAAAAATAAGTGCAAAACATTGCCTATGATACTATTTCTCACATCCTTGGTGACACACCACTGCAAAAGCATGAGTGAATTGTTAATCTATAGAGCATTAACCTTCTGTACATTTCAAATAATTCTTTCTTTCTTATTATTATTATTACAAAATGTAATAATTTGGATTCATTTCTTTTTAGCTAATATGTGATGATGAATTATGTTGTGATTTTGAAATTTAGCAATAAAATGTTGGTTGCTTTTGTTACATATATGCAAACATGTATTTAGTCATATTTTCATAGCCCAATGTTGACATTAAAACTGAAATCACTATATCAGTTACCATATCTTGAGCAAGAAACTGTAAAAGAAAATGTTTCATCTATAAAATATTCATTAAAGGACTTAAAACTGATTCAGAAAGTAATAAAGTTTGATGAGGCATTCCATTCAGTAGAAATAATAATTATTTTTGAAACATGGAGGTAGCAATCAAGTTGTATTTAAACATTTTTACTTACTTTTATAATATAAAAACAAATTACTGAATTTTAAAATAATAACCTTAAATCTACACTTTATTTTAACTACTACCTGAAAATCAAAATTGGATATTCACAAGTTAGATAAAAAATATTTTGTTTTGGAAAAAAACCCATACAATTATGCTATTTTATCTATCACCAGTTCATTTTAAGGTAAGTAACATTAGTAAGAAAAATATGCAAAAGTTTTACTGTCAATGAGAAATTTAATTACATGAAACTATTCAAAACATCATCACATCTACATGTATATTATTATTTCAGTAGATGCATGTATATTTAGACTTGTGTGTGTGTGTCACTACTCAGTACATCTCAATACGTTTAGAAACATGAAACTACATACTTCTGTTTTATTTCTTTTATGTCACTTAAAGCAGTCTCCAAATGGCTAAGTCCTGTTTTTACTCCATCCAGCTGACTCTGCATTGCTGTTTTCAGCATTGCTTCCACAGATGCCTAAAAGATACAAAGTAAATTTTATTAAAAATTCATGTTTCTCATATGATAAAAACATTATAATGTTGTCATAACTCAGGTAAAGCAAAATTTACATAACCTTCAACCTTATTTAGTTACAGAGCAATAAAATAAAAAACCAGACTCCTCTTGCCACACACACACCTGTCACATCTTATGGAAGATTTGTATTTAATCAGTAATGCTCAGCATGGTTGTAGAATAGGGTTCTTCTACCTTTATAGCTTAATGAAGTTTATTTAAAAAGCTTTAGATTATTTAATGAGGTTACTCTGATTGATATTGTATACCTTAATTGTCAGATGTAACAACATTCCACACTATAAAAATTAGTAAGCCTCCTTATTAAACCCGAGTAGACACTCCCAGCATCCGGCCAAAACTCCCAATTTACCCATCAGATGGTAACAGCATCCAATAACATTTATGTCTCTTTGGCTGAAAACTAATCCAAACTGTATTATTAGCCACTATTTATAAATAGACTGGAAATTTTATCAGTATCACATACTATACGTAGTCTGATGTTTGAAATTATTTTATCGTTATATCCGACAAAAGATTTATTTTTAATTCCAAGATTAGCCTAAGAAATGTTAAATTAAAACTTTAAAAAATAAATTAACTTGTGTATTAAGCTACCTTCTTTCGAATGACACGACGTTTGTATTGCTCCACTTTTTCCAGCTGATCTGGTCTTTGAAGCATATTAGCCACATGTTTTGCTGCAGTAGCTTTGGCCTCAGCCTCTAGGTGTTCTACGTCCATTTTGCTTTATTTCTTCCGTTTTGTTGTTTCTCCAATTTTTGTAACAAAAATTCTGTTCCCAATTCAAACAAGCGCACATAAATACTATAATTCGTAAAACTAAAAGTGTATAATGTTCTCAAGCACATGAAACTTGCTAGCGTTTCAACAATTCAAGTTTCCAAACACATCTTTACACCCTCAAATACTTCAGCGCCCTCTTTTAAAAATATAATTCACATTAATAGCAGATAATTATTTGTATTCTAAATTTCTTCTTTGTTCACTAACGTAAATCATTACTTTATCATACTATACATTTTCCCCCAGTTCCTTAAGAGGAAGTTTAGTGTTTATGGTATTTATAGTTAAGTAATTACTATGATAATGTGGTAGATTTTTGATTTTCATTTGTTTACTATAGACTATCTATAACCTTCCCACTGCGAGTATCGAAAACCAATTTTTAGGGTTATAAGTTTCAGACTTACAGCTGAGTCCTCGTGGAGCTTTAAATCTTTAATTAATTTGTTTATAGAGGCCTTTTATTTGATAAAAGAACAACTAAGTTAGTATTTCAGATTATATATATATATATATATATATATAT